CCCTGTATTGCAAGCCCTGCTCTTTTTTCACGACCATTTAAAAGTTTCTAATTTCAGTTTAAACCAACCAACCAACCAACAAAAAAGCCAAAGCCATGTCTATCAGTTCTAATGCATGCTGATCCCGTGCATCTCGGAAGTAAAATGACCTGCCTACAACAACAACAACAACAACCATATTGTATGGAGTTCTGGTGTGGTGCTGTCAGCTAAGCACTGGACTGCTAACCACAAGATAGACACTTCAAACCCACCAACTGCTCCTCAAAAACCCTATACAGGGTCACTATGAGTCAGAATTAACTTGATGGCATTTAACAACAAAACCATACTTTATTATTTCAAATGATATGAAATTAAACCCAAACCAAACCAAACCCATTCCCCATTGAGTGGATTATTTCCAAGGCTGTAATTTTTTATAGAAACAGACTACAGAGTGACTGGTGGGTTCCAGCTGTTGACCTTTTGGTTAGTAGTGGTGTGCTTATCCACTGTGCCACCAGGACTCCTGATATGAAACTAGAGATGTGAAAACACATTAATATAAAGTATTGTGCACGTGCAATATAAAGGTATATGCAATATATTGGAGGTGGTTGTGTACCATTGAGTTGCGTCCCACTCATAGTGACCCTGTATAGGGTTTCTGAGGTTGAACATATATGTTGTTGTTGTTGAGTGCTATCGAGTTGCTTCTGACCCATAGTGACCCTGCCTAGGGTTTCCAAGGAGTGACTGGTACGTTTGAACTATCCATCTTGTGGTCCAATGCTTTATTCTACAGCGCCACACCAGTACATCTACACCGGAGCAGAAAGCCTCATCTTTCTCCAGAGCAGCTGATACATGAAAACGGCTGACCTTGCAGTTTGCAGCCCAACTTTTACCTCACTGCGTTACCAGGGCCATTTTGAAATATATTAAGTAACTGCTATATTTCTAAGGAGCTCTGGTAGCGTAGTGGTTACAAATCGGGCTGCTAATCTCACGGTCAGCAGTTCGAAACTACAAAAGATGAGGCTTTCTGCTCCCATAAAGATTTACAGCCTCGGAAACCCTGTACAGGGTCACTATGAGTCGGAACTCATACGGCATATAACAACAACAACAACTATATTTCTGGATACAGTATGTTAAATAACAATGATTGTTTCAGTGTTCAGGGAAGTTCAGTGGTGTCAAAATAATTACAAGGAATGTAATTATTCTGATACCACTCTTGCTTCAGTGATCTGAATATTCTGGACAAATTATTCTTTCTTGGATCAAGTTACACAGACAATGACCTCAAGTTACTCCTTTATGTACCTGGTGATGGGTAGAGTTGGCATGGGTTTTATATTTTCAGTAACGTTTTTGTAGTTTTAAAAGCCTAAGCAAGAAACCTAGATTCTCTGCTATTTTTGATAGGTGGAGTTTGGGTAAGTAATTTACAAAGTTTGCATGAAACATTAAACTCAGAATTGCTGAGAATCTAAACATAGGAACCTCAACTAATCATTTCCCCAAGTATGCTTTTCTAACTGGTATGATTGGTATTATTGAGAAAGTATTCATTTTTCTTCATTACTGAGGAAATACTTGATATTTTAAAAACTAGTCTTCTGTGTATCTTGTGGGAATAACTGAGCTAATAAGAATATTGAGTTAAATACGACATACTATTCTCCAACTATTCTGTACTACTGAGAGTTTTTTATGCACTTTTGGGAAGAATGAAAACTCATTTTTAATTTAATTAATTCCTTCTGCATTTCAATAGCATCATCAAGTTGTTAAGTTGATTGCTTTAAAATAATCAAACCACCAATAAAAACCGATAACCAAGATATTTTTAGTGTGTTAGGTTGGATCCAAATCTTAAATGGTGAGTATGTGCTGCCCTTTAAGTCGTGAAGTTGGTATTGCAAATCAGCAACCTCAAGAAATGTTTTTAGATATCCTTCCTATGAAATTCTTACTTGTCCCTAATTATCTATACTTGAAGAATGCTCCCTGAAGATTACATATATGCTGAAAAATATGTATCTCTTTATCTACCTATCTATCTAGTTATCTTTGTCTTATGTGTATGGATGGATACAGGCGTGTTCTGGTTTCGTTTTTCTCATTATGAAGTTAGATATCTCAATCTATTAATGTTGTACTTACATTATTAAGCATCGTATACTTGGATATGTAGCTTTCTTTTTCCAGTAAAGTTCCAAACAAAATACGAAGACTGGAAAATATATCATTGATGTTGGCAGTTGTCATCACTACATTCTATACGTATCTGCCCTACCTATCCACTTTTCCCCTCTCTGAACAAGACAGATTTTAAGATCCTGTAAAATTACAACTGACAATAATTTTTTAGAACAATTGAAACCAGCAGTTTTCTAGAATAATAAAATCTGAAGGACTTTCAAAGGCCCTGGTATTTCAGAATTCTCAAGAACACATATCAAGAAATACTCATTGTACTTGTTTGGAAAACTGGTTTCACTGTTACAAACTGCTGAAACTAACCTATCTACCTATCTACTCACACACACATTCTAATGATGAAATCTGTTTATAGCTACAGAGTCTTTGTGTAGAGGCTCTATATTCCTGTACAGTTTCATATATACACACTCAAAAGTATATTAGCATTGACTATGCTAACCTAAAGTGCTGAAAGTGAAGAGGACTTGAAACATTTACTTATGAAGATCAAAGAGCACAGCCTTCAATATGGATTACATCCCAAT